AATATAATAAAATAAGTTTTCCCATTTAGTCAAATATGAGGTTTAATATTGTCAGATAAGAGTTTATCATAAAATAATCTTGAACCTTTTTTCAAATCCATAAAATCTTTATGAAGAAGGTTATTATCCAGATCATTGTTATGTATATTTCTGTATTGTTTTATGGTCCTTTTCCATGATTCAGGTATGATATACAAAACATTTCAAAGATCCTTATATGTTCCTCTATTATCAAATTTGAGCTTCAGATCTTCAAAAGACATAAAACCATCTTCATTACAAAGGTCCTTAATTGTTAAAATTCCATTTTTAGCTCAATGCCTAATAAAGTGATTTGGGTTTTTGAAGTTATCATCATGAAAAAAAAGCCCCTGCTTACACATCGTTTTGAAAATGAAAGTTAGGCAAGGCCTCAACACTAACTAAATATAAAGCTTTGCAACCTATCGGGCTTACACGAAAAAATTGGCTTGCTACGCGCCTGTTAGTCACCTCTAACTTACACTGGTTATTGAAGACCAATTCTTACCCGGATCTTCATGGGTCTCCAACCTGTATCCAGATTGCCTGGACACACTCCTCTGTTAGCGAAGCTGGTATCATCACTATTTGATTCTGATTCATAAACACATGTCCATGATATAGTCGGAATTGTTCAACATTGGAAAGTCAACTGGACACCGGTACAGTGTGATATACAAATTTGCTTGCCCGACAGAAAAAAACCACTGGACTCTGGACGTCGGGCAATGGGTTATTTCCACCCCCTGAATGACACAAATACAAATTATGTGTATGTGTCCATAATACAGTATATCATGCTCATGGCTTTCCAAATGCTCAGATGGGTTGAAATGGCTAATCCAAGGATTCAGGGCTGGAACAAGTCCAATGCAGTGTAAGTTGTCTACAGTGGATGAGGTGGGCAGATCTGGTGACTAATGGTGGCATGTCATCCAACCCAGACACCTCTCAACATTGTTCATAATACCACCCAACAGGTATGTCTGGGACACAGGCCACCATGATATGGCTGGTGTACTGCTGACCGCTGCATAAACCACAAACACTGAATACATTCCACTGATGTTGAAGGAGTTGAAGCAAGGATACTTGATAACTACTAAATGCAATCCTAATTTGCAATGTCTCTGTGTTTTTGGAACATCGGCCTTATTTTCAGAAATGATTCAATAATGTTGTTCCATGCTTCAATCAGCCACGATCCTGCTACAACATGGGATCTGGTACACTATCAAGTCTTGGCTAGAGACATAAGTGATCGACAAAAATTATAACAAGTTTAGACTCAAGTTCTAGATCTTACCATTATGAGACCCTCAAAGTGTCATTTCTTAGTCTATAGAAGTTATGTTCTCATCCTGCTAATGGTGTTTGATTGGATAAAAACGTATGATGATAGGGCAGATTTAAGGATATATAGACATCACCCTTTCCCCTCCAGAACTATGATGGGTATAGTAAACATCACAAAGAACAAGACAAAACCTGTAACACTCTTTACTTTATCAAGCTAGAACAAAGGTGTTTCCATGTGAATACGATGGTTTACGACGTGCACAGTTGATGAAGCTAAAGTATTTCATGAAGTGGTGTATTTCTAATGTAAGTCAGCAATTGATATTCAGCGACTCTCAAACTGCACTTATGAAGACACAACACAATATATAAAGACGTTAAAAAGAGGAATTAAGTTAGGATGGCCAGCCACACCAAACAGTTTTCACATCAACTGTTAAGCCATATATAAAAAAATTCCAATATAGAAAGATTCCGTCACACTTACATATGTCTAAGGCACTGTGTGCCCGTCCTTCACATGGAGCTCTCTAGAGCTGCTGATAGTCCAAAATTCAGACCAATATCTTCAGAAATTGTCAATAAATATTCCAAATGGGCACATAAATATCCCAAATTTATGTTAAAAAAATGAGAATAACTAAATATGTCATTGTAGAGGTGACTTGTATTTTACCCATAATGATTAATTGTGACAAAAAGACGTTAATACTAAATTGTACTATATTGAATGTATGTTTAATGTACTAGGTAAAAGTCCTTTGATTTTAAAAAAACAACCTTAGATGTTTTTATAAAACAAAATAACTGTATGAATGAAATACTAATTTCCCCCGAATACAATAGGAACACGACCACCTCTGAATGGTCCTCATTCATTCGCTGGGGAAGATTTAACAATCACAAAATATTCAGGGTTCATACAGATCTTTTGTGTCACATGCCACAGCGACATCAGAAATTGCAAACTGTACTTAGTAATAATGTGAAAAGAAAGTCATTCTTAATTTCATGACTCAACTTTTAAATTGTCAAAATGAAAATATAAATAAATGTTCTTAAACTGAATAAATGAAATTGACCATGACCATTGATAGAAAAATTAAAACTGTTTAATGTTACCTTTCTGTAACAGTGAGATGGTAGACAAAGTAGACACACAGTTGACAACATTGTAGTGATTCCTCATGTGATTGTTACAACCTTGTATAGTTGCAGCACAACAGGTAGGGTAGTGTAAGTGTAACTCTGCTCTGTTAATAAGGTCTGTCATGATATCACTGTAGATGTAATATTTCTGGCATCATGCAAGTCCAGTACATGTATTTTAATAATTTGTAATGTTATCCTGCAGACTATCCTCATTTGCCAGCTGGACATATCATGATGATGATGTGGTGCTTGAAGATGTCTTTGGTTACTTTCAACTCCTGACTTATATCCGAGTGAAAGACAAGAGTGAGTGAGTGAGCACTCAATTAAAACATACTCAATGATATGTATGGAACAACCACATGTATACTTATTTGACCCAGATAACAACATTTAAAACATTGATCCATCTAACGTTTTGAAGAAATATGTTAAAGAATGGCAAACACTGAAAACATGTCAAAGTATGAAAATTAAAACTAAACCATCGATCAAAAAGAAATGAACAGTGCCAAGTTTCTCATCAAAGACACATATTTCAAACAAACCACACATTCACTGAAACAAAACATACTCACAAAATCAGAAATAAAATGATGGATGAGTGTATGGCACAATTGTAAGTTTAAATAAATATCAATAAACAAATACAAAAACATCACAACACACACCAATATGTACCATGTACAAATTGACAAGTTCAAATGAATAGATCTGGCTGGGACATGTATGCACTGCTAGTGAAATCACTATGACAACAGTACAACAGGAACAACGTGCCACAAAAGAATGTGTGAGTTTTACTCCACTTTGAATAGTATCTCACTGATCTCCCGGAGTGTCAGCATGATGTGGGAGGACAAGCAAGAGTGATGCAGGCCTCACACTTATCACTCGGATGAAAACATGAGCAAGGGTATTGTGCTGACAAACCCAGACTCATACTGAAACTGGGATTCGAACCTGCCATCCTGTTATTGACATGCCATGTGGATAAAACAGTGTACAGCAATGTCTCTGTTAACTGGGCCACCAGTCTGTACCCTTACCCCTCACTTTTACTTTTACTATTAATATTGAAGTAAGCTCTGCTCCAAGTATGTCTACTAACATTTTACCATCATTACTTTAACTTGCTCCACCAAGAACTTTAAGTCTTTTCCCAGGCCACAACAACTAATTGATGGCAGCTATGCTCGTAATGCTATTCCAGTGTGGCTAAAATATATTGTATTAGGTTGTCCTCAATTGGTTTGCCATGGTATTAGAGAACAAGGCAGAGTAATATATTACCGTATCCACTGCATGAAAATAATCATCCCCTTACCAACTTCTAGACCAGTCTGTAAGAAATATTTAGAAGCATCCCTACAAAGACCAAAACTGAACATGACCATATTTTCTTTCTATTTCACAAATTTGTGTATAGAAAAGAACAAGGTAGAGGGTTATATCGCAGCCTAATATCCAATGTCTACAAAGTTTCAATTCTATCAATCTTAATTTTTCAAAATGAAATTTAACTTCTGCATGGTTTATAATCACCTAACTTTGTAAACCTTCTAAATTCTCGAACCACTTATTATAGTAATGATGGTAGTTACTAGTACTTAATTCTGATGTGAGCTTGAAAGCATATTATGTGAAATGCTTTTACCACTTTATGCCAAGTATAACTAGTTTAAGTACAATCATCAAGTTGAGCAAACATATTGGGCCTCAGTGGAATACGAACATTACGAGCTGACATGATTGTTATTGAGTGTGTGTGAATGCGTCTAGTGGTAACCATTCTGTCACCAGACCTCCATTCCCCTTGATGGCAGGGCCGGGAGGTCATACAGCTTGAACATATAAATGGTAAACCAACTGCTAAAAGCCACAGAAAAGTTCAACAATGTAAGTACTTAAAAACACTTATTACAACATGTTTGTTTAAAAAACAGAAAGAACAAATTATTTACACATCAATAAATGGAGTAAGATCACATCCATAGAACAGAAGAGGTCTTCCTTGTAAATTTAGTGTTAATCAACTACACTAATTTACGATCCATTTGCCCATAAAAGGATCATAATGATTGGAGTTCTTTATCTACATATCTGAAGTCAGATCACTACCATCAGTTGTCGTCCCCTTACTAACGGTTGAGTCTTCAAGTAAATATGGACCCAGACACTTCCTCATATCAGAGCATTTGTAGAAGAGATCAAACTCACAAGTAAAAAACAGTGTCATCTAAAACTCCACACTTTAACCAATACACCTGTGTAAACAGTCTCCCATTAATGCAAAAACCCAATGATTTAAAAGGTGACACAGTTTTTTCAGTTTTGTTCTCAACAATCACAGTGAGTCCCTGATACTGAAACCCCACGGTAATCCATTAGGCAACAAAAAATATTCTTGGCCATCAACTCTTTGAAAACCTGGTGCAGATTAGTAGCCTGATTTATTCTAATTTTAAAAGTGTTAAGTAAGTTTAAATAAATTTCTCCTCCCCCAAGCTACAAAATGCTGCCATGGAGGGTACTTTATTCTGATTACTGATGAAGAATATCTTTTCCTCTGTTTTATAAGCGTTTTATCATGTTGATTATTGGTTTTGTTTGAAAAATGTACTCATATTTTTATGAAGTAGTTCCATGAATGATGTAATTTCGCATGCAGTACACATCCTCAAATGAAAATGTATTGTCATGGTTCAGCATCGTCAATTCCAACATGGCAGTAACTGTCAATGTGGTGAGTGTTGGCAGTGTGCCACTGAGAGATTCACAGCAGTGGAAGTCACACTGAAGAACCATCAACCTCAACAAGTCATATTTATCTCTATCTGAATGTATGAGTAGTTTCAGTCCACTGCTTTTAGCAAAATTCCAGAATCATCGTACAGGGTACACCAGAAATGGGCTCCACACATTGAACCCACGTGAGGGATCAAATCTAGGTCTTCACTATGTCAAAAGAATGCTGTAGCCACTCGGTAACATTCATGACAAAACACATTTGTAACTGATGGTTGGTCTTCACATTTTCGTTGATGATGCAAAAACTGCTGTGATATTTCATTTCATGTAAATAAAGTCCAATCAAACAAGTGCAATTACTGACTTCATCACTTTGCAACATTTTGCACAAAAAAATCATTTTCTCATGGCAACAGGTAAAAATACTAATGGAGGATTTGACAAAAATTGAAAATCCCCACACCAAACACTCAGTCATTAATAATATCCATACATACATGAGAAAATACTGAACATGTTTAAAACCTGAAAAATATTGTCACAAAGACTGTGTGTCAATGAGACAGAAACTGTTGATGAAACAGAGTCACCATGTCACTATAGTAAGTGTATCACAACTGTTACCATGGTGATAGCTGCAGGTCCTTCATACACAGAGTCCTAGGTCATGTCCCGACTCTTCCATGAGATCATGTCTGTGACTAGTTCAATACTCCAACAAGTCAACAAGTTATGTTTCACTACTGTTTTCGGAACCGTGATGCTTCTCCATTTCTTCTGACAGACGTTGAGCAAGTGCGTCTATGTATGGCCCTGACAAGTGTCTTTCCTGTCCTAATTTGCGAGCTACATTCTCAGGACTATCAGTCTGAAAATGAAGTGAGATAGGTGATTCTCCATTGACTGGTGTCACTGCATAGAAAGATTTTAAAGGGCGGACATGATCTGGAAAAGTTGCATTCCTAGAAAATTCTGACCTTGAAAAAAGCAAAACCTTTCTGCTAACTCAATTCAATTTACCACATTATTTTCTATATACTGCCAAAGGAATGATATTTTTGTGAAACTTACATTTGTAATTAAATTTGTATTAATGTTTTCAGCTAAAAGGTATGTTTGTCAAGCTCCAATCTTGCTTGCCTTAATTCATTGATGTTTATCAAATATATGATCTAGATCTACATGAATGTATATCAGGAAATCTGATGTTACACTTATGAACACCTTAGGGATTTTTCAAAATAATGTACAATCATACCGAATATATTTTTCTTTTGTATATATGTCCATCTTTGTCTTCATATTCTAACATGAATAACTCCTCTCTGTCTTCTTGATCATCTGAGGAAAAACAGACATGTCTCCATAAGTGAACAGTGACATGTGTATTCAAGGTTGCTGTTGTTTAGCAAAGCACTCAGTAATTTTCCAGTGAGTGAGTAGGGTATTATGCCTCATTTATCGATATTCCAGCAATATCACAACAATCAATTTTCCAATAACATGTATATGACAAGGGTCTGTAAATAATCGAGTCTAGACCAGATAATACAGTGATTGACATCATGAGCATCGATCTACGCAATGGGGATGTGATGACATACATATACCTAGCAGCAACTTGACCATTTGATCCTATTACCATGATTAGTCGCCTCTTGCAACAAGCATGAGTTGCTGAAGACAAACTCTAATCTAGATCTTCATGGGTCACAGTGAGTGAGTCAGTGAGTTTAGTTTTACGCCGCTCTCAGCAATATTCCTGCTATATGGCGGCGGTCTGTAAATAATCGAGTCTGGACTAGACAATCCAGTGATCAACAGCATGAGCATCGATCTGCGCAATTGGGAACCGATGTCATGTGTCAACCAAGTCAGCGAGCCTGACCACTCGATCCCGTTAGTTGCCTCTTATGATAAGCATAGTTGCCTTTTGTGGCAAGCATGGGTTGCTGAAGGCCTATTCTACCCCGGATCTTCACGGGTCTCATGGGTCACAGGTATTCATGTACACGGGTATATAAAAATAGACAGAAAATGTGTACAATACACCACAAACATGGGACAAACCATCAAGCTCACTTGAATCGAAAAGTCAATTACCAAAGTACACAAATAATATCCACTGCAAGTCCAGGTGGATGCAAAAGAGAATGGATCTTGGAATGAGATATATTAGTGAAACATCTATAAAAGATTTTTGTATGACATTTCAGTTCTGAAGAGCAATACAATCTGTGGTCGGACCAAATATTGTCAGATTTTCAAGATTCATTTCCAAATTTTGATATAAACAATAACAACATCTATGATAATCATAGGTCATCACAAAAAACATCACATTGTGTATTTGCTGTGGCTAAACTGCTAACCGAGGGGTTCCCCATTTTAATGTTTTGGACTCCCGCATTTCTTTACCCAGAGTCTCAATGACTCAATTTGTTTTATACTGATGAGAAAAGCTCATTTTACAAGACATGAAGAAATTTTACTAGACTCTGGCTTCGGACTAGAGGCTATAATCACAGAATCATGTCTAAGGTGTTCCACTCTCTAGTATGGTTACTCTCTTACTCAATTCTTACACAGTGAAAACACATGATCAACTTCAACTTGAAATCAGAATCGAACTGTTTTTGTGCTTAAATCCATCTCCACATGCAACTACAGAGATTTGAACCCACACACAAATATTTTTGTATTTTGTCATCTCATACATATATATTCAGAGAGATTTCATCTAATTTTTGTGGCCATTTTGCCAAGAATTTGTTAACATTGAACATAGTATGTATACAGTTTCAGTACATTTAAATGGTAAGTATTACCCATATAAAACTTGTCCTGTTTTTCCTGTCTTCCTCTTCTCTTCCTTGAAAAAGGTGGGACGTATGCGCGGGCATCTGGTTTTACCTTCCTGTGCCTCTCAGTATGTTTACCTCTGTCTTGGCCTTCACCCTTTGCTTTTACTTCTCTGTCATAGTTGTCACTATGGAAACAAGATCAAGCCAATACAAGGCAATGTACATGTCAGAGAGGGAGAGGCAAATGCTTCTAGATCACCACTGGTCAGGGAAGTCACTACACAGTCTTTGACCAGAAATGATGACGAGAACCTTGCTGAAGTCCGGTGTGGGAATTAGTACCGGTACCTAACTGAGATTACCAGATAACAAATACTTCTAGCATTTTCAAACAAGCATGTGGATATCGTCTTAGATCTGAAGGTTACAATCAGCCCCAGTACTTGATCTTTAATGCGCAAATAATGCCTTCCAACATGTTAAATTTGAGACCGTTTTAGATACAAATAAATATAAGTTTAAAAAACAAGCTCTCAGGGTTTTACGGGATGCGAATTCCTGCATCCTATATGCATAAAAATTGAAAATGGACCCAACGAAATATAACAGCGCATCCACAGGGATGCAGAAAAAGTCCAAATACTTTTTGTAAAATTTCAATCAAGTAACAATAAGTTATCACTGAGTTTGCTACTAGCTGGGCTATGGTATCATTTGCAATTTAATTACTGTAACAATATAATAAAAGTAACTGAATTACAACAATATTACAAAACAGTATTAATAATAATATTTAAGTGTCTGAGACCCCCATTTTGTAGTCCAGGACCCCTGAAAATTAAGAATATGAGTCCCACATACCCTCAAATACAGGACTCGAGGAAAATCCCTGAGCTCTGATCTTTTTTCAGTTATTTGCCTATACTCAAACCAAAACCTTTTGGAGCCAAGCAATAATCATGACAATAGGGGACCATACAATTTCTTTTAACAAATAGCAGCTGGCCACATCACTTCATCTGTATCTCACTACTTGCTATTCATGGGCTGAAATAGGAATTGGATCAAAATGTTTGGGGTTGCACTTGGACAGCTTGTGAACATGGTGAAGTTTTCCTTGATGGGCATTTTAGTACCATCATTCTCCAACATGGTGAACGCCAGTGCAAATTCTGCAACATCTTATTCAATGGTTTTCACTAAAATGCGTTCCTCCTTGTATTATTCCAGATTTATGCTGGTTTTACACAGCTGGCTAAGACACCTTACTGCAGCAGTTTGACCTAGTTATCATGGATACCTCATTTGGACACATAATAGTCCATCCAGCCAAATAACCAGTACACCTTTGCTCTCATACACTGTCAGGCAGGGTAATAACAAGTACTATTTTTTAACATCCAACTCTATGATGAATAATCTTGTAGAAAATACTAGCATTATTTCTTGCAAAAATAAAAATATGGGAGACATTTGCAGTCCCAAACTGGCTAGTATTAGCAGAATTTTCACACATTCTTCTCAAAATTTGACTATTTAGAATTTTCTTTTTACATTTCTATAACAGGCATAATACTTTCTATAACTGTACTTAATTTTGTTTAATCAGTTCAGTAAATAGATGTTGTCCATGAACAGGCAATTGTGCAAATAGGTGTCCCCTCTCTCAACCCTCAACCTGCATAAGTATTCACTTGTGATTGTTTGATCAGCATTCTAGAAGTTGGTGAGTCAACAAATGAAACATACAACTGTATGGATGACAACTTCTGGTTTGTCCATGAACAGGCAATTGAGCAAATAGGTGTCCCCTCTCTCAACCTCAACCTGCATAAGTATTCACTTGTGATTGTTTGATCAGCATTCTAGAAGTTGGTGAGTCAACAAATGAAACATACACATGTATGGATGACAACTTCTGGTTTATTTGCGTTAAGCAACGTTTCGATGTAGATTCTTACATTGTTATCAAGCTAAAAGTGAGTACAACCAAATGGTGAGGAGCATATATACATGGTATGTTGTGACAAGCAGCAGATTAACATTAACAACAGCATGTAATAGAACTAACAAGTGGTACCCCTTGACTGAAGGGGTGCTTGGACAAGGTGCTGCCATTGATCACGGCCATTGTCAACATGTCCCTCAAGAAGTCACGTGTCCCATAGTGTTTCAAGCAAGCCTTGGTGAGACCATTGCTAAAGAAAGCTGGCCTGGACAAGGAGGTGCTGAAGCATTATAGACCTGTCTCCAATTTGTGCTTTATCTCCAAAATCTTAGATAGAGAAGGTTGTGTTTTCTCGCATAAGTCAGCATCTTCAAGTCAATAACCTCCAGGACAAATTTCAATCTGCCTACAGATCTGGTCATTCGACGGAAACTGCTCTCCTGCGTGTGCACCATGATATCATCAAAGCTCTAGACAACAAAACTGCCGTCGCAATGGTATTGATCGATCAGTCAGCTGCATTCGATCTCATAGATCACGACATACTATTACAAAGACTACAGTACAGCTATGGTGTGACCGGAGAAGCCCTATCATGGGTTCAGTCCTATGTGTTAAACAGATCACAGAGTGTGGCAATAAGATCTACAGTGTCTGAGTGTGCGGATATTCATTTCGGTGTACCACAGGGCTCCGTTTGGGGGCCTGTTTTGTACTGTCTGTATTCAAAGCCAATGGGCAACATCTGCCAACAACATGATCTCTCCTATATGGTTTACGCGGATGATCAGCAGATGTACAGAGTTGTTCAACCTTGGATTTCTTGGACGCCCACTTCGAGAGCATTGGAAGCCTGTGTGTCAGATGTCATCGACTGGACAAGCAACAATATGTTTAAAGTCAATCAGGAAAAAACTGAATTTATTATTGTCAGTTCTAAGAACCCTAAAGTTGACACCAGTGATATGCAAGTACAAGTTGGAGACAGCTCTGTTAACTCAGCTGTTTCTGTGAAGAACCTTGGTGTTCACTTCGACCACAAACTGACAATGGAGAGACAAGTGAATGCCATCGCCAAGTCATGCTACTTCCAGATCAGAAGTATAACAGCCATACGCCGATACATCACAGAAGACTGTTGTAAGACTCTAGTACATGCTTTAGTGACATCTAGACTGGATTATGGAAATGGTCTTCTCTGTGGACTACCTGAAACCCTCACCAGTCGTCTACAGAAGGTGCAGAACTGTGCGGCTAGACTCATTACCAAGACTAGCCGACGTAAGGAGATTACGCCCGTGAGACAGAAGCTACACTGGCTCCCAGTCAGACAGAGATGCCAGTATAAGATCTTGATGTATGCTTATAAATGTATCCATGGTTTGGCCCCATACTATCTTCAGGAACTTGTTGTGCCATATCATCCAACCAGGTCACTCAGATCAGAATCTTTTTACCATGTGTTAGATGTTTCATCTTTTAGCATCTTTAGCATCACTTGTATACCACCTGTATATCACCATACAGTATTTTATATGTTAAGCGCCTTAGAGTGTTTTTTAAAAAAGCAAATAAGGCGCTATACAAATCTTGTGTATTATTATTATTATTATTACATAATTGGAAGAAGCCAGTAGGGAACTAAAAACAACAAATAGCACTAGTGATGAAGCCAATAAACAGGGGGATTAAGTAGTAACAACACATAGACAGGGTGCTATTGATGGTCTGTAGTTCTTCATAGGCTGATGGGATGTAGTATCCTTGGTCACGGTTGATCAAAGGATTGTGGCGGTGGATTTCGATGGCTTCCAACAGTTTTCTATTTGTGAAGTCCTGATTATTGGTTGATAGGACTTCGAATTCGTCAAACTTGATTTGATGGGTAGGGATCTTTTGCTGGTGATCTGAGAGGGCAGATTTGCTGTCTGCCTTAGCTGTAGAGGTTTCATGTTCTTTTGTGCGGGCGTCAACGGGACGGGAGGTTTCACCTATATAAGAATCACCACATTCACAGTTAATAACAGCTACAGCCAGAAGCCGACGTTCAACCTCAAATCATCATCATCAGTTAATCTTGTAAATCACTCCTTTGGGGGTTGCTTAGTGGAGGGTGGATGGATTACGGTGATTACGGTGGAGAATGGTCCTGTGGGTTGGAGAGCCAGAGAAGATGGTGTCGATACCTGCTTGGTGCTTGAGAAGTCTGCTGATTTGGTGGGAGGTCTTGCCAATATAAGGAAGGGTAATTCTAATGGGGGTGGCTTCATGCTTCGTCATTTTGGGTTTGTCCTGGAGAGTGATGGAGATGGTCCTCCTGACTAGATTGATGGGATACTGGTTGAGCTTGGTGAAGACACGTTCTAGGTGGTTAAGTTCATGCTCTAGGTCATCGCTGCTGGAGCAAATCTTCTTGCGGCGCCTTGTCAGGGTTGAGATGACACCAGACTTGGATTTAGGGGGATGGTTAGAGTTGAAATGAATGTACTGGTCGGAATGGGTGGGTTTTCTGTAGACCGTGGTTTGGATCTTGTTGCAGGGGTCTCTGGAAACAAGGACATCAAAGAAGGGGAGTTTGTTGTCGTTCTCTGTCTCCATGGTGAACTTGATCCTGGAATGTTGGGTGTTGAGGTGCTGGAGTAGTGAGGTGGGATCTTGGTCTTTTCTGAGGATGACAAAGGTGTCATCCACCTTCCTATACCAGCACACAGGTTGGATGGGGGAGGAGGCCAGGGTTTCTTCTTCAAAATGGGTCATGTAGATTTCAGTAAGAATGGGGGAAAGACGGGACCCCATGGGGAGACCGTGGATCTGTTCGAAAATGTTGTCTCCCCAGGTGAAGTAGGTGGATGTTATGCATGATTTAGTGAGGCTGATGATGGACTCTATGGAAAGGTTGGTGTCAAGAGGTTGGTCAAGGTTGGAGATGCGCTGACGGAGGATTTGTAGGGATTTGGGGACATTTGTAAAGAGGTCAAGAACATTGTAGCTGATAATCTGGTCAGGTTCAGTAATGCTGCTTATATAATCCTGCTTATCTTTCTATTACATGCTGTTGTTAATGTTAATCTGCTGCTTGTCACAACATACCATGTATATATGCTCCTCACCAATTGGTTGTACTCACTTTTAGCTTGATAACGATGTAAGAATCTACATCGAAACGTTGCTCAACGCAAATAAACCAGAAGTTGTCATCCATAAAGTTGTATGTTTCATTAGCCACTTGTGCACATAGTGGGGACCCATCTTGTGTAAAAGTTACCCTCTCTACTGGTTAATGCGTGACATGGGGCTTGAACAACTGATCTTCTGATCTGTGGGCAGACACTCTATACTATATGATAAAAGTATAGTAGTAGATAAAGCTGTAAAGCTATCACAGAGTAGATTCTGAAGATGAATGGATTGTTAAAATCAATGATATATATTAGTCAAACATGTTTTACAACTTCAAATGAAATGGATACTGTTGTAACAAAGATATGTTGAACAGGTGTAAACGTGAACATAAAATATCTATCTTTTAAGTCAGTTGAACATAAAGATAAAGAACTTTTAGGTTGAATCATTCCTAAAACTAAATCAAAACTCAAGCAAATGATGATCTTTTACGGGAAATCACAATCATTCCTACCGATCAAGTTGGTTCCTTATAATACTTTTCATAAAGCCATGCCTCATGTCCAGTTTTCTGTTTGTAGATGACATTTTTCAACATGGTTTGGTTGAAAAATGCTGACAACTATGAAATTGTTGTTTTCATTTCTGTCATTTTGGGGATTCCCGTGAACTACGTCACCAGTAGTGAATAAAATGCCTTTCGACGCCGGATAATATATATCCGTCTCAGACCAATATTCATCATTATTTTAATATATATTTCAAAACGCCTTCAAAATTGTCTTAATTAAGATGGAAGCAAATGTATGTCATTATTAATGATGTCAAAAATAAAATTTTGAGATTAAAACATGGAAAAACAATTCAATATTTGTGAAAACCAACTATCCGTAATTTACTAGGCCTACCATAACCGGAAATGACGAATATCACACCGGGTGAAAATGGCGGAGGTTTCGATAAAGCGACGATCTGTAAAGTCTTCCAAAGCGAAGAAACGAGTCGTCGAAGTAGATGATGATGATGACATTGGTAGGTCTTCTTGGGCAAACTAAAATATTTATCTCCGTACTAGATCTCAAACTGAATTGGGGTTTATTCTTATATCGACATACAAACAGTGGATACACATGTCTCGCATTCACTAATTCACGGACATTGTTTTGTGCGTCTGCTCAGACGTGGGGGCACAGCGACTATTATTTCTTATTAAAACATTGCCCATATTCTCCAGAAAACACATCCTGACCAAGTTAATTTCAAGACAATTAACCTAACGCCTTCCTGTTGATCAATTGACAGCTTTTGTTAATGTGAGCCATGATGGTACATGATGGGGGGGGGTCTGGGAGGAAATGTGTACAGGTGATTGCTAGTTCTGACTTATTTTACGATACAATTACAGTAGAAACACTTGGTAGTTTTAATGTAAGAAACAAAACGGTAATCATGGTAATAATGCTGAAGGAAACACAGCTAATTGTCTAATGATTGCTTAATTGAGTTCTGAAGTACTAATGTAACAATTAACCAAATACATACATTGCAAATGACCAGTTTTTGCTGTAAACATAATCAAGTCTAATTTGCATGCTGGGCTAATCTGTTGACCAATCAATCTTAAATGTATATTATTGTAAGACTTCAGAATAAGGCACACAATACCTAGAAAGTTAACAATAATATAACTTGCACACAATCTTTCTGAGTGTATTATTCTGTTAGGATGATCGTACCTTGTACTGTGGATGATATAGATGTTTGGAATATTTTGACAGGTATGAAATTAATCTGATTCAAAACTCTTTCAGTGAGATGAGAAATTCAAACCATGACACCCTACTAAAAAGTTAATACGTGTACTTTTTTAATTCTGAAGTGTTATACCAAGTCCCATGAATTATTGACTGAATCTAATGATTATTTTACTAATTTGCCTGCCAAGTGCACTTGGTTTCAATCCCAGATAAATCTTTGGTTATGGAGCATGCAGAGTGTAAAAACAGTTTTCAGCCCCTGTCATCATTATAAATAATAACTGTAATAGTTAATGTAATGCTTTTATGTTTAAATGACGAAGAACGGGCATTTTGACTTATAATTCCTAAAAATTGAACAACATATTTGGAACCATGTTTACCACTACCAGTCATAATCAGTAGCTGATATGTTGATAAGTTTCAAAGTTTGTTGTCTCAGTTACAATGTTTGTTTCGGCAATTATTCTGTGTAACAGAAATATGGGTGATGCTTTGTGGGGATGTCCCTGATGTGTAGTGGCCAGATTTGTTAGATATGAAATATTACAGTGTGTTATGTTATACCCTATTCATGTTATTTATTTCCTTTACATTCTGTATTTCAGTCCCAGTGAAGGAGCCAAAAATTGATAAAAGTAGATCTTGTCCCTATTTGGATACCATCAACAGGTATGCAGTTATTTTTGTGCTAATCTTTTTGCAGTTTATATCTGTGCCACATTTTTTTTTATTTATTTGTTGGGGCGGTGGGGTAGCCTAGTGGTTAAAGCGTTGGCTCGTCACGTCGAAGACCCGGGTTCGATTCCCCACATGGGCACAATGTTTGAAGCCCATTTCTGTTGTCCCCGCCGTGATATTGCTGGAATATTGGTAAAAGCGGCGTAAAACTAAACTCAGTCAGTCAGTCAGTATTTATTTGTTACCACTTTTCACGCTTTTAATTGTGTAAGATTAAGTTACATAACTGCAGGATCTGATAATTAGAGGTTATCATATGTCAGTCAGTTTTCATATCTTGCTTGCTGGTCATACCCCCATTTGTGCATATAAGCATGATAAGGGGCCAGGGGTTGATACAGGGTCTGACATGGAAACTGCAGTCTTAAAAGTGTCTTATCATGCATCCGAAGATCAAACTGAAATATCTGGCAAGTGTTTGCAACATATAACTCCAGTTTTGTACCACCTAATACAATGATATTGACATTGAATGTTAAATAAAGTAACATTCTCCTGTTTCAGATCATTGTTGGACTTTGATTTTGAGAAGTTATGTTCTGTGTCCTTGTCCCACATCAACGTCTATGCCTGTCTGGTCTGTGGCAAGTACTTCCAAGGTAGGTAACTGTACATGGAACGCACATAATGATAAGCTCATTAGGAGTGAACGTTATCCTCATGTCATGCAGTACATCCCAGGGTACTGTTATCAGACACTGCCATTACGCTGTTAGTCTGGACCAAATACAAATGTATACACATTGATACAGTATTCACTGTATATCTCTGGAAAACTGTTAGGAACAGACATTGACATAGTGCATTTTTGTAAGACCAGTTGAAATTGTGAAAGTTGTGACTTGTTGATATTTCCCACATTCTAGTTACTTTACATAACCACTTGTCCTAAATGAGCAGCTGGCTACTTGAATTTGACCAATGGAGTCTCAGCTTCTGTGGTGAAAGCCTAAATGAAAATGTGCTGAAACATGACTTGTTCTTACATGCTCTAATGATGATTGACTCCTCTTACACATGACTATGTTAATGGTTTTCCGCCAAACCCTGAACTTCTACATCCTGTGTCCGTTTAGGATTTCATATAGGATTTCTTGGGGTGTTAATCTGGACTGGGAATTAGTGAATGTAATGTGGATTTGTGCTAACACTTTTCCAGATGAATAACTTTCATCATGAATATGAATGCTTTAATGACGATCTCTGTATCTTTGTCCAGGCCGTGGACCCAACACTCATGCCTACATCCACAGTGTGTTTGAAGGCCACCATGTCTTCCTCAACCTTCAGACGCAGAAGTTCTACTGTCTCCCTGACAACTACGAGATTATCGACTCATCACTTGAAGATATTATCGTGAGTGACAAACTGAAGCCTTTTTCATTGTTATGTACTGCCCCTGCAAATACAGATTCATGAGCGTTGACCATTGATTAATTATTGATGTATATATGATAAATAAATGATCAGGGATAATTTTTTATTTCTTAAAGTAGAGATCATTTTGGTGTCCCTTGCTGTAATGATGCTAAAAACAGCACAAATGTTATTAGAACGTACTGTCTTGGGATCAGTGCACAAGGTACGAGCATATGTCAGATTTTCATGTTGTTCACTTACAGTATGTCCTGAACCCAACATTCACGGATCTCAATATCAAGAGACTTGACAAGAACCCCAAGATGTCCAGGGCCTATGATGGCACTACATACTTACCAGGTAGACTTCGTACCTGAATTGGTCAATTGTTACTTAGCTGTTCTTGCAAGAATTTCTAAGATAAGCAGTGAAATAGGAAGGATTACTAATGTTCTGTCATGAGTGAATTGCAAGTGTCTTCTAACAGTATTTTATCATATCAACAGTGTATATGTATTAAATGTACTGATTTATGTTTGAAAAACAGTGTGTATGTCAAAACAAAGATTTATCATTTTATCATGCACTATAAACATGATAAATGACTTATTTGAGGTTTCTTTGGTATCTTTCATGTGTAGGTATATGGAGATAATGTTTTTTTTGCAATGAAATTATTTCAACAGATCAATGATATATCCTACTTGTGATTATACTGCTCAAAGGAAATTAAACACCACCCAATTATTTCATATTACTATAATTAATCTATCATTACATTATAGAGTATTGCTAGTAATATCAAAGAGTTGGGTGTATCAAGTTCTTTCTAGTGGTGAGATGTTTGTTGTTTTTTACCAGTTGTTGTAAACTTGAGATTATGTTGTTATCATTATGCTTGTCAGGTATTGTTGGTCTGAACAACATCAAAGCCAATGATTACTGCAATGTGGTGCTGCAGGTATGTTGTCATATCATTTTATTTGGGTAAAAGTGGTATGTAACTTCCATGTATGCATAATTACACTGATCCTCCGTTATCAATGCTTGTAGTTATGAAAGATATATTCCACATAATGATAAGTATTATCATAATTTTTCCTGTACTACAAACAGGCTCTATATACAACTGATATACAGTCGAGCACCGTTGTCTCGATATTCATGGGACCAAGAAAAATTTTCAAGTTATCCGAACTTCGAGACATCCGACCAGGGCATATCATGACATATCACTATGAAAGAAAACAAAACGCTTCTCAGTATGTTTTGATTCGAAACTATAATCTGTTATCAGTAGTGTTTAGTTGTAACAGTGAGTACTTCCTAATTAATTCCTTCTTAGTTAATCCTAATTAAATAACAAACAAGTGGCACCTTCAACTCAATTAACCCTGGGGCGGTGGGGTAGCCTAATGGTTAAAGCGTTGGCTCGTCACGCCGAAGACCTGGGTTCGAATCCCCACATGGGCACAATGTGTGAAGCCCATTTCTGGTATCCCCCGTCGTGATGTTGCTGGAATATTGCTAAAAGCTGTGTAAAACCAAACTCAGTCAGTCAGTCAATTAACCCTAATTAGTTTACACTACCGCATCCCTTTGATTCATGCCGCACCGTGTGTAAACTTGTGGAAACAACCACACTCTAGAGGGATACTTGCCCATGAATGGTAAGTGAATATCGAGTTTCTTTGCAAATATCGAGTTAAAAGGGTAATTTTGCTTGTTGGGACCATGAAATTATATCTAGATATCTGAAATATTGGGACATCCGTATCAAGTTAAAAGAGTTTGAATAATAAGAAAATTATGAAGGATTTTGCCAGGACCGAGATGTTATATTGAGACAACCGAGATATCGAGTTATCAGAGTTCGACACAACAGTGCTCGACTGTATGTCATTAACAAAAATCTTGGTGGTACAGACATTATATTTCAAGGTCTATGCCAGTGCTTACTTATATGCTGAGAACAGATTCCCAAGTTTCTTCAATGTTAATGTTAAGTATGTTAATATTAATGTAATATTTGTCATGTCTTCTATTCCCTGGCCTGACCACTAGTTGTCTGTCCATCTCACACGGTTCATGGTATCTGTTTTTGTTAATCATAGTCATATAGAAAACCATTGTTATATAGAATTTAACATTCAAGTCCGACTATAGTGAATTTCAAGTTTTTCAAAGTTGCAGGTTGGAATTTGCAGGTCATGAACTATAATAGGTTAAAGTTTTGTCACTTATGAAGGGAGGTAACTCTTGACGGGAATTGTACAAACAGCTTTGATGCAGCCATAAAATGAATAACACAATTTCTTGGTATGGACACTTGTTTTGATGAAATGTATTTTTTATTGTCACCATGTATGATTCTGATGAGGCCAAATAAAAAAAATCTTGTGGTTCCGATTACACCTCTTTAACATTTAGGGTAGATAGGTAGGAATTCTTTTTTTTTTCCTTTTGTTAGAAGTAAATCATGAACTAATAACACATTTATCAATGTATAATGGTTGGGTAATCGGAACCACAACATGTTTTTTTCTAGGCCTGATTACAATGATCATGACATTGTTTATTGCCTACCCAATCTTTTTGTTAAGATAACACTGATATATTTCTTCCTCTAGGCCTTGTCTCATGTGGTTCCGCTGAGAAACTACTTCCTCCAGGAGGCCAGCTACAAGAAAATCAAGCGTCCCCCTGGAGACCAGGCATTTCTGCTTGTACAGAGGTTTGGGGAGTTGCTACGGAAACTGTGGAACCCCCGAAACTTCAAGGCCCATGTCAGCCCCCATGAGATGCTTCAGGCTGTGGTGTTGTGTAGTAAGAAGCGCTTCCAGATCACAGAACAAGGTTTGTGTCAAGCTAAAGTGTCATGTACATCAGATACACTAGCCCCAATCTTAGATAGATTGTTTCAGTGGACATTAGTCTGTGTTGTAATATATATATATATGTGAAAGTCAAAGGGTCCTTGACATACCCTAACTTTTTAATATTGAAGGCATACCCATATCCAAGTAGTTTTGGATCAAATCTCAACATATGGTTGTCTTAAAACTAGTGGAAACTTGAATGAAGCTCCTTTTCTTGGACTTAGAAACAGAAATATTTACCTCTCATAGGTTACTATAGAGGTATAGCTAGTATCCTTTACTATTTGTATTGATTAATTATCGATTTCTACCGTTTATTCACGCAGTATTCGCGGATTGTTCAGCTAGCTTTACGCTGATGAAAATCTGTACAATTTGTAGATTACGCTTTTCTGCCTCCGATCCACATATAATATGCCCCCTAGTTGTTCTACGTGGTAATGCTTCATTCACGTTGCAGTTACTGCATTAATTTATCTCTTTCTGCATTTAATAAATATCATCTTTAAGCGCCTTAAGACGCGCTGCAGATAGATCAACGCAAACAAGGGCAAAACATGGCAGAGAGTCCAGATATTCCATCCAGTCAGCTGCTAGCGATCGAATCCCTCTCCGCCTGGTGTTCTGCTAGAGATCCCTGCGGTAGAGGAACGCGGGACGAAGTCCGACACTAAGAAACGACCGCCTCCCCAGACATCCTGGCCATTGCAGACCAAGTCTAAGAGGGTCTCTCATCGCCGTCTCAACGCAGATTGAGGACACTCCAGGGCAGCAGGACTTCCAAAAGGAAAAATCTATTTAAGAGATGAAAGAACTTCTCAGCCGAGATCGCTCCAGCAGCAGAATTGGGTCTCTACGATGATCAGCCGATAATCATCCCCGAATTTACGCAGAAGAAGCTTAACGGTGTCAGCTTAATTATGACTTCTGCAGAGATCACCATGCAGCCTGGATGCCTCTACACCCAGACGCCAGACGCTATTGATGTGAACCCCATCGCAGAGAAGACGATTCGGACGCATTTCGGGCTACAGATCATCCCAGAAGACATGATGGCAGATTATGAACATCATGGAGGACTCACTACAAACTGCAGAAGCAGGGTCCGAAGTTTCTTGAAGGCTCTAACGTGACAGCACCCCAGAGGCACCATTGGCCAACGAAGCAGCCAAGACGCATGTCACCTTTCTGGCTAAGGAAGTCCCGACCACTCCCTTGACGTAAGGACCTAGATGTACAGCCTTCGCTAAGGCCTTCGGGCGGATAGATCATCACCATCTTCGATTTCATCTCTAGATATGGACTCGACCATCAGACATCACGGAGGCCTTCGCTAAGGTCATATCATCGATCCCCCGACCGACGCAAGTACGAAGTTTTCGCTAAGGCATTCGCCAAGGACATATGATTCCAAATCCCTCATCATCTAGAAGAACATCGAGGGACTATAGAAGAGCTTCAGCTAAGCTATCAACGCTCACCTCAACAAGTCTCCGAAGATCATCCCATAGACGATCTCCACTTCGCTTCATCACCAGGTCGATCACCCGCCAGATCTCCACATAGAGCGACAAGTCAACTAGATCGCCACAAAACCCATCATCAGATATACAGACAGCTACACGTAGTCCCTCAAGAGCATCAACAATTTGTTAATGATGATGGTATTGAGGATGATGGAGGAATCATATTTTCTGGATGCAGATACGTACGCATTGATGGTCAATAACCTAGATCTCACATCACCATCTAAAAGTGGCAATACAGCGCAGGACGATTTGATGAAGGAAGATTCATCCAGATGCAATCACTCTACCCCGGGATCAATTCTGCCATTACTCTGCAGTGCCACAGAATCTAGATGCAGTTTTCCAGAAAGCTAACAAAAGTTCAGACACCACATCTTCGCTCCAACTTCATGCCAAGAAGTTCTCATTGATAACATGGACTCCCTCTTCAAAGCCCAGGACATCGATGAGAACTATAAGATCATCAGCGATGTAAAGAACAAGATTTTACAAGATGGATGATCGCAAGTTGGGCTCATATAGAAAGTTCATGACTCACGACGATGTTCTTTGGGGCAAATAGATCTAGGTCGATTCAATGAGACTCTTATTACTAGATTCCCGGATTCCAATGACGGAAGATGATAGAAATGATTTATCCTGCCTACTTATACAAAAGAAAGATCAGCAGTCTTTTAACGGATCATCTTACATCTGTTCTCAGCAGCATTCGACCTTTAGCCTCGTCAGTCAAGGCCTCCTCGCCTCTGTATTGGGGGAGAACTTTATAGGCAGCCCCCACTTTATACAGCCCCTGGTCGGCACAACATCCATCTTTGATTTGAGAAATCTAATAAAGTCGCCAAGGAAGTCTCTGGCAAGATTCCAGGGAAGTCCTTATGATTAAATCGATGGACACACTAGCCAGCCAGTCTGGCCAGACTTCACAAAGATACTCCTTGGGCAGATCTTAAGTTCACGGGCCTACAAAGAGCAAGAGACAGTGGAAGATAGCCAGCTCTATAGAGGTAAGATTCTTTCTACGTCAGCTTCAAATGGCAACTATAGAGGAGGATCAGGAAGAGGCAGGGACACCCAGAGGTTCCGCGAACTATAGACGCTGAAACACAGGTTCGAACGACTGGAGTCTTCCACCCCCAGCCGCTCCAGTACAGCCAGCACAAGTGGGTGGACGCCTCCAACTACACTGGGAAAACTGGGGAATTACAAGACCCTTACGCCTCCAACATTCTTCAACACCCATTTCAGATCCCACTACAGGCTGTCCTCCATTGACAATCAAACCCCCAAGTTCGACATTTATAAGCTTAACAACTACTCAAAGATAAGAGAGAGGCTGTTTCATCACTCCCTATCCAAACAGGCCATAGAAGTAATAGATCAAGCAAACGCCAACCAGGTTTCTACTCCCCCAGTTTTCCTCCTAGTTCCCAAGAAAAACTCCACGGAGAAATACAGACTCACTCTACAACATGAGCTTTTTCAACAAGAATTATCTACGCGAAACCACCATCAAGTTCTTCAGATGATACATTTACCCCAGTTACGCCAGATGATTCGGCCCCTATGGACTACATGGGCAGCATAGATCTACAGGATGCCTACCTGCACATCCCCATTCATCCCCGATTCCAGGGAAATACTCGCACGATTTACACCTGAAGGGCTACTATTACTCAGTGGAAAGTACTCCCATTCGAATATCATCAGCCCCTGGCTATTCAATACTCTAGGATAACAGTAAAACCGATTATCATATTTCTACATCGCCAAGGGCTACGTGCGAGCGCTTTTACCTCGACGACGGGATACAAGTAGATCAAGATCCACAGCGCCTCAAACTACAGTTAAATTACATCATAAAGCTACTAACACAACTAGGTTGGTTAGTAAACTTACGCAAGTCGGACCCTAGTACCATCGCAAGACCTGTAGTTCCTAGGTATTCGATTCATCACAAATCGCAACCGTGATTATGGTACCAGAAGACCGTTATTCAAGATACAACAGACCATTCCACCAGCTCTACTCTCCGTTACCACTTCGACAATGGCAGAGCCTCCTAGGGTCTTCTCACATCAGCCCAAGACATGACTGTCACAGGCAGATTACAGTTACGCCCCCTACAGGTCTCATCAACGCATTATCTCAACGTATGTACAACCATTCAGTCTACCGTAAACATCTCAGACCTCATCTACTATGGTGGACCAAGAAATCGAATGTCTGCATAAGGGACGGTTTAGCAGCAGGAATACAAAACCCATCTGTATGTAGACGCCTGCTACTCCAAGGTTGGGGAGCTCATCTCACCAACCACACGATATCAGGATTATGGAATCAGCAAGAATGCAAACTCCATATAAACAGTCTAGAAATGAAAGCTGTAATCAACGCCATTCTACATTGGAGCACTTTTCTACAAAATGCGACTAATGATCCATACAGACAATTCGACAGTGGCGTTCTACATAAACAAGCAAGGCTCAACGAGATCGATGAACCTTTTGAACTAAGTTTTCAACTGTTCGATTTAATACAAGATCTAAATCTACATGTCAGAGCAGTGCACATTCCCGAGCCAGAAATATACTAGCAGACGCTTCCTCTCGGCCTCATCTACCATCACCGACAGAGTGGATGATCAACAGGGAAATATTTGCACAGATAATCAAGCAATTAGGAGCCGCCGCTTAATAGACCTATTCGCCACACGCATTCAACAATCAGCTACCGGACATTCGTGTCACCAGTCCCAGACCCCAAGCTTGGGCAACGGACGCCTAAGTCTATCATGGAAGGCCTCACGCGTGACGCTTCCGCCGCCAGCAATAATACCTCAAGTATTACAGAAAATCAGACAAACACAGAGCCTACATAACTCACTTTTCACACCTCTACTGGTCGCTTGTAGAACATGGTTTCCCTACACTAATTCAAGAAATCGTCAACCAGCACTGGAGCTGTTCTGCTAAGCAGCAAACCTGTTAATTCATCCTCACACCAAACAAGTGCACGGAAACCCAGCAATGTTCCAACTACACGTATGGACTGCATACAAATGTGTTTAAACAAGAGAGGATATTCTGCCAGGGCGGTAAAAGCAGTCACGCTTTGGCTCTTACTGCTATACTCAACTCTCAGAACTTGTATGACGACAAGTGGCACATTTTCGAAAATTATGCAGCAAAGAAAGGTTTTACAGCAAGAGAGGCTTTACAACCTCAAGTGGCAGACTATTTGTGTTACCTCGCGCCAAAACAAACATTTAAAAGGTTCAACGATATCAACATATCTTGCCGCCGCTTTAGTTCTGTAATCACCATGAGAACGGTGTCAAATTAACAAGATCCCCAGAGTTACTGGTCTTACTTACGAAGCATTCCGGATTGAGGACCAAAAGCGAAGTTCCAATTTCCAGCTTGGGATCTGAATGTATGTTACAACACCTCACGAAAGTGAGGTCTATGAACCGTTGGAATCAACAACTTTGAATTTCTCTCACAGAAAACACTGTTTCTGCTATCTCTAGCCACGCAGCAAGAATGTCTGAAATTCAGCTTCCGATTCTTGGAGCGAGAGGATACAGTTTGATGACAATCATAACACAGCGCGCTTCCTCTGGATTAAGATGGGATTTCATCGCTTAAAAATCAACTGCCAGGTCAAACCAGACAGATTATTCCACATCCCGGCGCTTATCCTCTATTCTCGGATCACAAGATACACAAGACCTATCACTGTGTCCAGTAAGAGCTCAAAGTTTATTTACTTAACGATCCAAAAACAAGGAGAAGATTTCTCAAACGCTTATTCATCCCCTTTATCGCCTACTTAATCAAACAGAAGTGTCACGGACCACAATATCTATTTGGATAAGGACTGTCATTCTCCTCGTGCCTACAAGGCAGCAGGCTTGGACCCACCAACAGCATCAAATCCACATGAGATCAGGGCACTGGCCTCCACCCTCAGCCCTACACGGTAACTGTTCCTTGAACACGATTATGGAAGGATGCTATTGGAAATCTAACATGGTATTTGCTAATCACTACCTGAGAGACATCACTACAGAAGATGTCTCTGGCATTCACCATTTGGACCACTGGTCTCGGCTCAGCAACTGGACAGTCCCTCGAGGGCGTTAAATATTATCCTCACAAGATTAATATGTATTTTATACATACTTATCTAGCTTATAACTCTCAAGGAGTTTTAGGGCTATGTATATATGTTCAGCTTAAGTTATTCAACCTTAAGCATATACTTTGATATATTCAATTTCAGTGCCTCTATCAGAGTCACCTATATATATATATATATATATTATATGTATTGTTCAATATATTCATAATGTAATTCCCCTTTAATGGCTTTATATAACCTATGGTTTTTTATACAGGAAACATCCTAAATCTAAGCCTTCATGAAGTTCCCGTAGGGGATATTACAGTATATCTATACAAAATCACTAATTATAAATCCAAAGTATTCTGTTACTCCCACCTCCGTTCCGTAGGATGCTACAAGCAAAAGAGCATGAGTCAGGATAAGGAAAAATATGTAATTTTTGGAGTAAAATTGATATTTTATACTTATCCTGACTCATGAGGTTAGCCCTCCCATCCTCCCCACATAACACTTTGGATTTCCCTGTAAGTCCAAGTGTTGGGCTCGCAAAATCAGGAGAGAGTGAAGCACATGGGCAGAGGGTGGCGACACCTTTTCCCGCCAGGGGAGACAAAGGGAGGCAACTCGTGGTGAGTACCAATTAGTGATTTTATTTTGAAGGGAGCTTCAAATAAGGAGATACAAGTGTTCCACTATGTTCGCAAGAAGAAGAAGACAAGCAAAAGAGCATGAGTCAGGATAAGTATAAAATATCAATTTTACTCCAAAAATTACATTATCTAAACTCAGGGACTTTGTACTTGGTACTGGTGACCATGAGCTCAGACAGTGTCCAACCCACTAGTTGTATGGTGTTGTGGCACGGCAGTACTGTAGTGTGTTGTGATGGTGCCCTGCTGATACTGTTAATCCCTGTCAGCTCCAGGGTTCATTAAAATATGGTAGTACAAGATGTTCAATTTCGAATTATAAATGGTACAAAGATTCTTGGAGCTCCATATAAGATGTTTAGTTATGTAGCTTAACCATTGTAACCTGCAGTCTTCTGAATCTAGGACATCATTTCAAAGCTTCCTTTAATTCAATTGCTTAGGAGCTTAAGATTTTTGTCCTTTTTAACATGTAAAGATCCTAATTGTATTTATATTTGATTAATTGTATCTTCATTCACTGTTACTGGGATGGTTTAGATCACAACTAAAGACTTTCAGTTTTGCAATGAATTGCACTGATTGTAGATCTGTTCATGTAGTACAGAAAGTGCTATGTCGGATTGTAGGTGACCCTGTTGACTTCTTGTCCTGGCTGCTGAATGCTCTGCACACTGCAATGAACGGAACCCGGAAGTTGAACAGCAGCATCATCAACAAGACATTTCGGGGCAAGATGAGAGTCTACTCCAGGAAGATGCCACCAATTGACATGGTGAGAGCACTCAAGCTTACTGTCACAGTTGTTTCAGCTGATGAAATCATCATGCATGTAGTGTGAATAATTTCAAGATCTCTGTATTGCATGTTTAGAGAGGAAATACAGGACCTGAACAGATCCACTGGTCAGTCATGATTCAGCAATTATTATCTTCCGCACCTGAACAGATCCACTGGTCAGTCATGATTCAGCAATTATTATCTTCCGCCGTCTCACCATCTTCATGATATATTGCTGCACATGGTTCGGCACCAACACTGATATATTTTATGGTTCAGACCAAATTGGCACACACAAGTGAATTGGAAAAAGATGTTTGAAAGCTGCATTGATGTAGTGAAATTGCTGACAGCATTCATCCTCTCTGACTAGTTTTCAGAGTGTTTAGGAAATGAATGATGTATAGATAGCTGCTGTGGTGTACTCTATTCCTCTCTGTTTGTTTAACCCCTGAAGATCCGGGTTAGAATATTGATCTTCAGTAACCCATGCTTGTCATAAGAGGCCACTAACGGGATCCGGTGGTCAGGCTCGCTGACTTGGTTGACACATGTCTTCGTATCGCAATTGCATAGATGGATGCTCATGCTGTTGATCACTGAATTGTCTGGTCCAGACTCGATTATTTACAGACCGCCGCCATATAGCAGGAATATTGCTGAGTGCGGCGTAAAACTGAACTCACTCACTGAGTTTAGTTTTTGGGTACCACTGGAAGTCAATGCATAGCAGTAGGATCAGTAGTCTTGTGGTGAGCGAGTCTAGTTTTACCCCGCTTTTAGCAATATTCCAGCAATATCATGCAGGGGACACCGGAAATGGGCTTCACACATTGTACCCATGTGGGGAATCGAACCTGTGTCTTCGGTGACGAGCGAACGCTTTAACCATTAGGCTACACCACAGTCTTGTGATGAAGGACCTTTGATGTATTGGCCTTACACCTTCAGGGTTGTTGGGTAGCCTAGTGGTTAAAGTGTTCACTCATCACGCAGAAGACCTGAGTTCGATTCCCCACATGGGTACAATGTGTGAGGCCCATTTCTGGTGTCCCCTGCTATGATATTGCTGGAATATTGCCAAACGCAGGGTAAATCCAAAACTCACTCATTCACTCACCCTCACACCATTATCTTATTTTGTTTTACAGAAAGAAGAGGAAAAGGAGGCGCTGATGCTCACAGAGGATTATATGGGTATGTAGCGAATCCCATACTGTATTTGGATCATTACTTGGAGAGTTTGGGTATGATTGATGGGGCTAGTCCACAGCTAGATCTGGATGAGTAGGCAGTTAAGTATGACCAACTTGTCATCACAGATTTTTCACAGTCAAGTTAAAGATTACTGGGTTAACTTTAGATCTAGATTCCCTACACTGGCATAAGTTTAAAATCCATTCATATTTCAGCACATGGAATTTAATTATTGAATCTGATCCTTTTCACTTCCTCTTCAGTTGGTTGGTGTCCTAGTTGTAAAAGTTTGTTTCTCTGAAGGTTTCCTAGAAGGGAAAATAAGTGTAGCCATGTGTGAAGCCATTTCTAAGTAGAAAGCTTCTTAATTTAGCCCATTCAGTCTCATGTTCTCCAACTAGTATGGAGACATAAGTTTCACAGTGTGTCAGAGTTATGTCCTCTTAGCTGTGTCAGGATATCTGCTTATCTTTGGTTAAATTTGGTATCATGTGTGAGTATGATATTCAATCTATCTGCGCCCCACCTGATCTTGCAGAGGTTTTACAGGATGGTAAGTGCTCACGACTTGTCAAACTTTAGGATTTTCGATAACATTAAGATAACCCTTGCTCTAATAGAAATAATGTTTCAAGCTGCATTAAACAAGACTCTCTTCCTCACTGATCTTCTCCCTGTAGAGACGATGGAAGAATTGCCCTGGCTGTACCTGACCTGTGACCTGCCATCACCGCCGCTGTATCCAGATGAGTTGAAGGAGAACATCATCCCTCAAGTACCGTTTGCTACCATCCTGTCCAAGTTCAATGGCGTGTCGGAGAAAGAGTACAAGACCCACAAAGACAGCACCATGAAAAGATTTGAGCTGACCAGGCTGCCCCCATATATCATCATATACATCAAGGTGAAGTTCTGTAACTATGTTGGAACTCCCCATATATCATCATATATATCAAGGTGAAGTTCTGTAACTATGTTGGAGCTCCCCATATATCATCATATACATCAAGGTGAACTTCTGTAACTATGTTGGAACTCCCCATATATCATCATATATATCAAGGTGAACTTCTGTAACTATGTTGGAACACCCCATATATCATCATACACATCAAGGTGAACTTCTGTAACTGTGTTGAACTCCCCATATATCATCATATATATCAAGGTGAACTTCTGTAACTATGTTGGAACACCCCATATATCATCATATATATCAAGGTGAACTTCTGTAACTATGTTGGAACACCCCATATATCATCATACACATCAAGGTGAACTTCTGTAACTATGTTGGAACTCCCCATATATCATCATATATATCAAGGTGAACTTCTGTAACTATGTTGGAACACCCCATATATCATCATATATATCAAGGTGAACTTCTGTAACTATGTTGGAACACCCCATATATCATCATACACATCAAGGTGAACTTCTGTAACTATGTTGAACTCCCCATATATCATCATATATATCAAGGTGAACTTCTGTAACTATGTTGGAACACCCCATATATATTATCATATATATCAAGGTGAACTTCTGTAACTATGTTGGACCACCCCATATATCATCATATATATCAAGGTGAACTTCTGTAACTATGTTGAAATACCCCATATATCATCATATGTACCTCCTTTGGGAAGTTCGAAAGGATTGGTAATGCTTCTAGAAGATTGTCTCACAATCTTATGTCATTGTGTGTAAACAGCACCTCGTGGGGGAGACCTTGGTTAGGATAGGACCCTAGTCTCCATTGCTTGTTGGGACAGTGACTTGGGTCAGTATGGTTCTGAGTAGCAGGTGGTTGCTGTTCAAACCTGGGACATCCTATACAGGGCTATGGTAGCACAGTCTGCAGCACAATGTTTGCTCCATCAGTTGCCTCCTTTCACTTTATATATTAATAATACTTTTTTGTTTTATTTGCAGAGATTTACAAAGAATTATTTTGTACGAGAAAAGAATCCCACTATTGTGAATTTTCCTATCAAGTAAGTTTAATCTTCACCTCTATTTTGAATATTACCAAGTTATAATGTCTCTCACTTATCAGTTACAATTACATCCGTGTGGGAAATATTGATATCAAAGAATATGCAGCATTTATGGACCCATAAATCTGTCATAACTACAACGTACATGCATAAACTAGCCTGAACAATACAATCTCAGCTCACCAATGACTGTGTCATGATCTGACATAAGTTTATGACATTGCTGTAAATATAAAAGGAACCTGTGTACATAGTCATCTTGTACCCACAGTTTGATGATGTTAAGCCCAAGAAAGCTGGCAAAGTACACATAACACAAAGATGAGCGGTGTATTGTGGTAAATATAGCAGCAGATGTTTTGAACATCTTCAAAGATCAGTGGTCAGAAAAGTAAGGGTTAGTTAGACACACACATGAATGTTTTTTACATGCACTTGCTGCAAATAAACATAAAACTAGGACCCATTAGTCATTAATAGGTTGAACTAGTGCATTTTTGTTTAACTTAATTGTGCCCTGAATGTTCAGCAAAATATCGATAGTATTAAAACCCAATGCTAAAATTTGTGTATTTTCTTTTGAAATTTGTTTGTGTATGTCACTTTTTTCATGGACATAATTTAAGATTTGATTATACAAGAGCAGAGCTTAGGTATTTTTTAAACTTGAGCTTAGTAACATCAGAAGCTTTTATCCCAGGATTGTGCTTAATGTTCAGCATGCAAGTCATGTACTGATGTGCTTGTTTCTGCAGGAACATAGACTTTGGAGACATGCTGTCAACTGAGGTGAGAGCCCAGCACAAGTACACATCGTATGATCTAGTAGCCAACGTTGTCCATGACGGAGAGCCCGGGGCGGGCAAGGGCACATACAGGGGACACATACTTCACAAGGTAACACATTCAACTGGCTACGTGTATGAATCACTGTGTGCATGTCAGGAGTATTCCTCAGAGATGACTAACCTGGATAGCTAGGGTTTTCAACCTGTCATTGTGTAATTGAGTGAAACCATTAATTGTACTTTCAGTGACATCTCTTATTTTCGATTCTCTGTGATAGTGTAGTGTTTGCAGACATTCAGTAAGTTGATGTGAAATGCTGTGTTTATGTGCTGAAGTTGCCATGCTCGTCACTGTTTGTGTGACTCTCATGAACTCTGTGTAATGCATAATGATGCTTTGTGTGATTGGATGATTGTTTACTGGGTGACCGTTCATAATTTATGGCTAGGAGGGGGTGATACAGTCTAAGTAAACTTAGGCTCAGTATTATTCGTTACACTGCTATATTGAGTCTAACAAAACCTAGTAGAAGGTCGCGTCAGCTTACCTTTGAGCGACCTATGACCGTCCAATCAAACGCGAGACGGCCGAACGGATTTAACCAATCAGACAACGACTACTACGCTATTTTCAGCGACTGTTTACTCATTGCATGTATCACTCGGAAGTGATCGTGCAGAAAAATCGCATTCGGAATCGTTCAGGTTTTTTAGGTAAAGGTTCAAACGCTATGTGCGAATGTTAACTTTCACGATTTGGTAAGCTGTGTTCTGATTGGTCAGTCCCAAACCTTCTACTAGGTTTTGTTAGACTCAGTATAGCAGTGTAACGAATAATACTGAGCCTAAGTGTACTTAGACTGGGCAGGCCTACCAAAGAAAACTTTAAATCGCTAAAACTGCATAAAAAAACGATGAGCCTGCAACTTCGACTTTGCGTATGCGCACCTGGAAGAGGAAGTCTCAACCGCATGTTTACATTTTCCAGCTTGGACAAAAGTTACATTCCTTTTTTAAGTATTTCTGTTGTGTTATGTGGCATTTATCATCATGATACTTGTGTGCACACTTGTTTAGTTTACTTTCCATTTGTATGAAATGATTGACAGCAATTATTTCGACATATCTAATACTTTTTCTACGTGAGGTGATTCACGGTTGCTTGGAAATTGAAAGTAGCGCGGATCGTAATGCACATGCGCAGTAGAGGTCTAAGTTCGCTTATATAAAAATGTTGCAGTTTCATAGTCTTTCGTTGCCGTTTTTACTGTTTCAGTAGCGAGGTATTATGTTTATGTAGCTATTACCACGATTAATGTGGGCTTTTCTGCGTTTTTCTGCACAGTGTGAAACTTTTCTTTGGTAGGCCTGCTGGGGGTGATGATGATTTTAAGGTGGGGGTCACCCATTTTCTTCTGGAAAGGTAGGGGGTGTCATTAACTTTGTACACATAGCCTTGGGGTGGGGTGGGGGAGCAATTTTGGGCATAAAAATATTCAAAAATTATCCTAAAAATATATGGAAAGGAGGACGGAGGGGTCATTGATTTTTTACATGACATGCAATGGGGTCACTTTGTGCATAAATGTTTTTTGGGGGGGTCTGTCACATTGTACATGCTTCTCCATAAAAATCATCATCACCCCTTCTAGCCATACATTATGAACGGTCCCTTGAATAGTTGTATGCCACATACTTGAAGCCTGAAGTCCAGACAGTGGTAGCTGTGGGGCTGCTTTCTCATGGCTGATTGGTCACTATTACTGACACTAGATCCATAGGCCAGTGATAGCTTTCAGTAGCATTGCTGAGGTTCCATGTTAGGGCAGTGTCAGGCATAGTATTGAGCATTGTTAGCACAGCATTTCAGCAATAGGGGAGTCCATTTCTGGCGTTCCCCACAATGATATTGTGATTATTGCAGGAATGTTGCTGAAAGAGGGGTAAAACCAACACACTCACTGACTGTATTTCTGACCGTGAAGATTGTTGTATTGCAGGGTTCTGGGAAGTGGTACGAGCTCCAGGATCTCCATGTGGCAGACATCCTTCCTCAGATGATCACGTTGTCGGAGAGTTACATCCAGGTGAGAGAGGGGAATTCTGTTTGCTTTGTTGTTGATATTGTTTCTTCTTTGTGACCAGTCTGTTAAAGTATAAATTTGATGGTTCAAGATGCTTCTAAAATGCCTCTCAAGCATCTAGTTCAAGATGATTGTTTTCATTTTCAGATTTTCGAGGTTCGTCGAGACATCTTGAACCCTTTCTACAGTGATGGGACTAAACAGGAGAACATGGAAACAGAGACATCTGGTGCTACAAAGGAAAAACCAAATGAATCATGATGAATGCTTAGTTCTTTAAGAGTGGACAGTTTTGTATGACATGGCAGTATTTGTACTGGTTTGAAAATGCATGTGAAGACTTGAAAACAAGGAGAGGCTGCAACTAGAATATGATAGCATTGCTGACAGTATTGATCAGATTGTTGACAAGATTCACAATATTGCCTTTTTGAGCAGACAAGTCATTTCATGGATAAAATACTACTTGAAAGTAATGTTAAAACGTAGATGTCTCTTTCATTCATGAAAGTGTGTTTAGATGAAAATGTCTGTTCATGAGGAATGTGAATTGGACTTCATTGTAGCAGACTGTTGCTATATTGTACCTTGTTATAGTTGCAGATATGTTGCTGAATGTGGACATATAATGTTGGCCTGACAAGGGAAGTGTCATTGTAAGATAATCTTTTAATACAAGTTTATCCAACTTGCCTCATAGTCATTGTTTTTTCATGGTTAGAATAAAAGCCCAGAAGCCTGTATGTGACAAACAAGGTAACCACTTGGATCAGGTGGTCAGACTTGGTATATTGGTTGATTGTGTATGTTTGTAATCTGATGCCTGGTCATCTTGTTTTCTGTCTTCTGGTGAAACAGTGACAACCTGTTTCTCTTGAAATCAACTTGTACAGTTTCTGTGATGACATGCATGGGTAGATATGCTTACCTTGGGCCAACATGTGCCATCATTATCACATGTGTGTCAGAGGGCAGTATACATGTGCCATCATTATCACATGTGTGTCAGAGGGCAGTATACATGTGCCATCATTATCACATGTGTGTCAGAGGGCAGTATACATGTGCCATCATTATCACATGTGTGTCAGAGGGCAGTATACATGTGCCATCATTATCACATGTCATGTGTGTCAGAGGGCAGTATACATGTGCCATCATTATCACATGTGTGTCAGAGGGCAGTATACATGTGCCATCATTATCACATGTGTGTCAGAGGGCAGTATACATGTGCCATCATTATCACATGTGTGTCAGAGGGCAGTATACATGTGCCATCATTATCACATGTGTGTCAGAGGGCAGTATACATGTGCCATCATTATCACATGTGTGTCAGAGGGCAGTATACATGTGCCATCATTATCACATGTGTGTCAGAGGGCAGTATACATGTGCCATCATTATCACATGTGTCAGAGGGCAGTATACATGTGCCATCATTATCACATGTGTGTCAGAGGGCAGTATACATGTGCCATCATTATCACATGTGTGTCAGAGGGCAGTATACATGTGCCATCATTATCACATGTGTGTCAGAGGGCAGTATACATGTGCCATCATTATCACATGTGTCAGAGGGCAGTATACATGTGCCATCATTATCACATGTGTCAGAGGGCAGTATACATGTGCCATCATTATCACACATGTGTGTCAGATGTGTGTCAGAGGGCATCATTACATGTGCCATCATTATCACACACATGTGAATCAGGGCATTGTCATATGCGTCAGAGGGCAGTATACATGTGCCATCATTATCACATTGTGTCAGAGGGCAGTATACATGTGCCATCATTTCATCACATTGTGTCAGAGGGCAGTATACATGTGCCATCATTATCACATGTGTGTCAGAGGGCAGTATACATGTGCCATCATTATCACAGAATGTGTGCATCAGAGGGCAGTATACATATCACGTGCCATCATTATCACATGTGTGTGTCAGAGGGCAGTATACATGTGCCATCATTATCACATGTGTGTCAGAGGGCAGTATACATGTGCCATCATTATCACATGTGTGTCAGTATACATGTGCCATCATTATCACATGTGTGAGGGCAGTATACATGTGCCATCATTATCATCACATGTGTATCACAGAGAGGGCAGTATACATGTGCCATCATTATCACATGTGTGTCAGAGGGCAGTATACATGTGCCATCATTATCACATGTGTCAGAGGGCATCATTGCCATCATTATCATGTGTGTCAGAGGGCAGTATACATGTGGCATCATTATCACATGTGTGTCAGAGGGCAGTATACATGTGCCATCATTATCACATGTGTGTCAGAGGGCAGTATACATGTGCCATCATTATCACATGTGTGTCAGAGGGCAGTATACATGTGCCATCATTATCACATGTGTGTCAGAGGGCAGTATACATGTGCCATCATTATCACATGTGTGTCAGAGGGCAGTATACATGTGCCATCATTATCACATGTGTCAGAGGGCAGTATACATGTGCCATCATTATCACATGTGTGTCAGAGGGCAGTATACATGTGCCATCATTATCACATGTGTGTCAGAGGGCAGTATACATGTGCCATCATTATCACATGTGTGTCAGAGGGCAGTATACATGTGCCATCATTATCATGTGTGTCAGAGGGCAGTATACATGTGCCATCATTATCACATGTGTGTCAGAGGGCAGTATACATGTGCCATCATTATCACATGTGTGTCAGAGGGCAGTATACATGTGCCATCATTATCACATGTGTGTCAGAGGGCAGTATACATGTGCCATCATTATCACATGTGTGTCAGAGGGCAGTATACATGTGCCATCATTATCACATGTGTCAGAGGGCAGTATACATGTGCCATCATTATCACATGTGTGTCAGAGGGCAGTATACATGTGCCATCATTATCACATTATGTGTGTCAGAGGGCAGTATACATGTGCCATCATTATCACATGTGTGTCAGAGGGCAGGTATACATGTGCCATCATTATCACATGTGTGTCAGAGGGCAGTATACATGTGCCATCATTATCACATGTGTGTGTCAGGAGGGCAGTATACATGTTGCATGTGCCATCATTATCACATGTGTCAGAGGGCAGTATACATGTGCCATCATTATCACATGTGTGTCAGAGGGTATACATACATGTCGCCATCATTATCACATGTGTGTCAGAGGGCAGTATACATGTGCCATCATTATCACATGTGTGTCAGAGGGCAGTATACATGTGCCATCATTATCACATCATTATCACATGTGTGTCAGAGGGCAGTATACATGTGCCATCATTATCACATGTGTGTCAGAGGGCAGTATACATGTGCCATCATTATCACATGTGTCAGAGGGCATCATTACATGTGTCAGGGGCAGTATACATGTATCATTATCACATGTGTGTCAGAGGGCAGTATACATGTGCCATCATTATCACATGTGTGTCAGAGGGCAGTATACATGTGCCATCATTATCACATGTGTGTCAGAGGGCATTATACATGTGCCATCATTATCATTATCACATGTGTCAGAGGGCAGTATACATGTGCCATCATTATCACATGTGTGTCAGGGAGGGCAGTATACATGTGTCAGAGGGCATCATCATTATCACATGTGTGTCAGAGGGCAGTATACATGTGCCATCATTATCACATGTGTGTGCCATCATTATCACCGAGGGCAGTATACATGTGCCATCATTATCACATGTGTCCGAGGGCAGTATACATGTGCCATCATTATCACATGTGTGTCCGAGGGCAGTATACATGTGCCATCATTATCACATGTGTGTCCGAGGGCAGTATACATGTGCCATCATTATCACATGTGTGTCAGAGGGCAGTATACATGTGCCATCATTATCACATGTGTGTCAGAGGGCAGTATACATGTGCTGTTTTCATGGGTGTATGTGCCCCAGTGTCTGGATATGCCACCATTGTGGCTGGATGTGCCCCAGTGTCTGGATGTGCCACCTTCGTGGCTATATGAGCCCCAGTGTCTGGATGTTCCACCTTCGTGGCAGTATGAGCCCCAGTGTCTGGATGTGCCACCATCGTGGCTGTATGAGCCCCAGTGTCTTGATGTTCCACCTTCGTGGCTGTATGAGCCCCAGTGTCTGGATGTTCCACCTTCGTGGCTGTATGAGCCCCAGTGTCTTGATGTTCCACCATCGTGGCAGTATGAGCCCCAGTGTCTGGATGTGCCACCTTCGTGGCTGTATGAGCCCCAGTGTCTGGATGTTCCACCATCGTGGCAGTATGAGCCCCAGTGTCTGGATGTTCCACCTTCGTGGCAGTATGAGCCCCAGTGTCTGGATGTTCCACCTTCGTGGCTGGATGAGCCCCAGTGTCTGGATGTTCCACCTTCGTGGCTGGATGAGCCCCAGTGTCTGGATGTTCCACCTTCGTGGCTGTATGAGCCCCAGTGTCTGGATGTTCCACCATCGTGGCAGTATGAGCCCCAGTGTCTGGATGTTCCACCATCGTGGCAGTATGAGCCCAGTGTCTGGATGTTCCACCTTCGCGGGCAGTATGAGCCCCAGTATGAGCCCCAGTGTCTGGATGTGCCACCTTCGTGGCTGGATGAGCCCCAGTGTCTGAATGTTCCACCATCGTGGCAGTATGAGCCCCAGTGTCTGGATGTGCCACCTTCGTGGCAGTATGAGCCCCAGTGTCTGGATGTTCCACCATCGTGGCAGTATGAGCCCCAGTGTCTGCAAGTGTCATCATGATGTCAGCAGTATTTATGCCTAGCCTGCTCTAGGTTATCTCTTACATTTGTGGAATGAACACTTTTATTTACTGTAGGTGAAATAAAATAAACATCTTATGAACTTGCTCAGAGGTATTAATGAATATGAATGTGTTGCATGCCCATGATTGGATAACTTAGTTGCGATGGCCAACGTTTCAAAATATGACCCAAGTGAAGTCAACCTCTTGTCCAGTTCTCATGTCCAGTTTTAAGTGCATAAGCACTAGCATGTTGCTGGTACTGGCATGATTATGGAGGATGAAGTGCAAAGGAAGTTTGGCATTCCACAAAACATGTATTGAAACATATTACTTGTCTTGTCCAAAGTGACTGTAAACACCAGGCTAGCTATTCTCGAAACTTCTTAAGCCCTAAGATCTTCTTAAGCCCATTCTTAACACATTGGCTACGATCAAAGTTAAGAATTCTTAACATTTCGAGAATAAGGGCCCTGGTCATGTAGTTTCTGCATGCACATGTTCGGATGTTTGGCCAGCTGATGGGGCTAGGTGGATGGATCCTCCAGTTTTGAATCCTTCTGTAGAGAACACCCCAGGCTGCAACAGTAGCATGGCTGGTGTTTCTGTACAGCCTGTGTGTGGACATCGCATAGGTCATGACATTGACAGTCTTTCGGTTTCAGACTCGGATTCCTTGCTAAAGATAGTCTTATCGTTTGCGGGTCTAAACGACCGTTTGAGACTTGATTCACTATTGGGTCCCAGTAACCTATGTTTGGAAAAGTCATTTAAAATGGATCTATTTGTTCATGCTTTGTGATTGGACTTCTACAATAATTTCTTAATTGCATTGCTAATTGCCATCACTTCCACTGAATGGTTAGTTTGTTCCACACTTGATCATCTGAAGATGGCTGTACAGTTTCATGTGGCCATCATACGGGATGGTATGGATCCATGCTCATGCTATTAACCACTGGTTTATCAAGCGCAATCCTGAAATGACTGAAACATTACCGACTGTGGCGAATACATTTATTTCCTCGCTCAGCTGAATGTTTGTAAGAGCCACTGAACAGCTGTATATTGCTGGAAGACTAGTGGCAATACCAGTGAATTGTTGCTGTTATTGCTCAAATGTTATAAAACCAATATCAACACCATGTACATATCCCCCATGTATAGGACTGCTATGAATTCACCCTCAACCAAGCAAACCAGAACACAAGCCTACACACACAATACCGGTGTCAATTGCGTATCAAGTGTCGGCGTTTACAATATAGATAATACAATGTCTAGCAACCCGGTCAGTGCTCACCAGTGCGCTTGACGTTAGTATCAGGTAACCTAATCACTAGATAATCCTCTCCCATACCTATTGACTGACTGTCGGTCTAGCTGTTCCGTTACCTGCCGTAGATAGTCGTACATAATGGCGCTACCTGATGGCCCGAAACGCCGGGGTATATTATAGAGTTACAGTTATGTTCTCTTATATTAGCGGCTATTGCTAGTTGTGCGCCATGGTCTGACGGTTGTCCCGCGGTGGGGCGACACTGTATATGATTGTGCTATTACATACAGGTGTATAGACAGGTAACACGGAGTTATCTTCAGCCTTATACTAGAGTGTTTCGCTTACATATGTTATGAAAGTGTACATAAATAATCTCTGTATTAAGGGATGTGTACTGCATGGTTAAAACGTTTAGATGCATACTGTACGTTTGGTGATCTGACGGTAAACAAGATTTAGGTACAACTGCCTTGTGCTTAATATCCACATTTTGAAATGTGTTGAGTGAATATGAACGTGTGAAGTTGTTTGTCTCCATACTCGTCAATATTCCGACTATCTGATCGAGTCCGCATCAGACAATCCGGTGATTAATATCATGAGAAGGGATCCACGCTGTTTGGGAACGCTGCCACGTCATTAACCAACCAAGTCTCCGTGCTTCACCTACCAATTCATTTACTCCTTTTCTTATTTTGAAAAGAAGAATGAAGAAATTCCGAAGAGAAAATGATCAGTTTGTTGCTGTCGTGATTATGAAAGTTCTTTATACGAGCATTTAGTCGAAGAGGTAGTTGAGCATCAGTGCTTGTAGACGTTCGATGGTGCCATGGTTTGAAGACAGGACATCCCGTGACATTACTGAAACAGTTTAGTTAGTAGGTGTCGGGTACATAGAAAAGGATGAATACTCTGTCATAGGAAGAGCTCACCCGAAGGTTCCCTTGCTTTTGTTATGAAGTAGCGCAGCCACACTTTTTCAAACCAGTATATTGTGAAATATTCGCACATTCTTGAAATTGTGACAAAAGAGTGAGTGAGTTTGGTTTTACGTCGCTTTTAGCAATATTCCAGCAATATCACGGCAGGGGACATCAGAAATGGGCTTCACACATTGTACCCATGTGGGGAATCGAACTCGGGTCTTCGGCGTGACGAGCGGACGCTTTAACCTCTAGGCTACCCCACCGACCCTGTGACAAAAGAACCATTTGTCTGATCCAAATGCCTGAATGTTGCATCCTACCTGGAATGCTACCTACCTTGTTTAAATATTACTTTAAAAATTATATACCATAACAGATTTCCGAAAGGTGCTAAAGCATATTCGTTAAACAACGCTTCATAACTAATCCTAAGTGCATTAAATACTCCACAAAATGTCAAAGTGTCCTCTCTCCACTGACAATCTCGTGGTATAGGTATAGCGATCGCACGCCGACCAGCCACACGGTAGGTTGAGGCCAAGGTTTAAACAAAACAAGACGTGTGGATTACATAGGGGGCAAATCCTCCAAATGGGTGATCGCTTTAGCGTAGCGGGATTTCGTTAAACCCTATGGGGGAGGAAATACGGGCCTTCAACATCGATACATTAGCAAATTAATCACAAGTCGCGGGTAACCGTGGAGCCGTTGCCAATAGCTACCCGTTGTTAGAGCGGCCCGATGGTATCGCCACTCCTCGGTAGACAGACCTGTACAGCGTTCGTATCGCGGACCAGAAAAACACAGGGATTTCCACAAGTGAAATTTTATTGAAAAACTTGACTGAGAGTGTTTGAAGTGGTCGAAATGTCCCAGGTAGGATTTTCTCGCCCTGCCACCCAGCTCAGCGGGAGAGTTGGTGTTGGGGTCGGGGTGAGTCTTCCAGAAATACAGCACCCGCTTTCCAGAATGAGCAACCCAGGGAACATGGATGTAAGAGGAGTTTCACGAGCGGGAGACAGGCCAGGTTCAAATCCAGGCTCCGGCAGACCTTTAGCCAATGAAAATATCTACCGTTTGAGGAAAAGTACGAGTGCTATCAGTACTGGAGAACGACGAGAAAGTCGTCTAAGTTTCAGAAAGGAAGCCATGGCTCCTCAAGACGCCATTGAAACCATTCCAGAAGGTGTAGAGGTGACCTACGGGAACCCTGACAAGCCAAGGATGCCCGTATTCGGTAAGTGTGGTGTACAACTGTATGTATAGCGTCTCACAAATAAGCGAGAGTCGCGGTCACTGTCAACATTTAAATTTTCCTTTAAAGGCATCGGTAACATGCGTGTCGATCAAACCGATCACCATTTGTATCAAATTACTAAGACCGAACTAAGTGGTGTGAAAAGTCTTTAGACAGCTATTTTCGTGTGTTTTCTCTGTGATTGCAAGTGTGATTTCCCTTGTTAAATTACGTTCGTAAATAACGCATAATCTCTGAAAATATATAATAAAGAACACAAAAATGAATACTCCATTAAAATTGAAAAGGTGACACAGTGCGCTGGGAAATTAAGAAAACTCTGTTAAGGGTTTGTGCTTTGCAGAAAAGGCTGCATGGAAGGGGAAATAATGTGGTTCAGGGTCCATGAGACGACGCATATGTTCGTGTAATTGCTGATGGGTTGAACTGAAATAATTAAACATACCGCATAGTTTATGTCATTAACGCTTATAATACCAACAGTACCATGGCGGTTGTGTCGACCATGTAAGGAGCTTAGTGGAGTGTATCAGCACAGTGGAAAAGTAGAAGAATTGAATGTTTATCGTTTGAGTACAAATAAAACATGCGTGTTTGACACATGTCATTGTACATTTGGTAGTCACAGTAAATAAAGTTAATCTCACATGACCATAAAACTCACCACACAATAGTCTTACTACACGGGTTAACGAGGGTTCCACTGAGATTGACCCGAAACAGCTTGTAGGCGTTGTGAAGTAGTCAGTGAACAGCGGAGTTTGTTTGTAGATTAGGGAAAAACGTACCTTATATGTTACTACATCGTAGCTATGGAGAACATCCCTGCATTTGTGTGTCATAATTGTATACAAGGAGTATTGTGCTTACTCCAACGTTCAGGATCATCTTAGACAATAACGTACGAATGCTTCAGGTTTCAAATCTTCCTGGTGTTTCATCTCAATATCTCCTGAAAATAGTTTAAACAACTACTAATTTTTTATTTTATTTTGTTGTTGTCTGTTTCAATATCAGGGTTGCAATTTCAAGGCCCAAGTAAAGCGTACAAAAACTTCTATGAAGGCCATTTAAAAATTTGGACTAGGTTTTCATATGCAAAATCTGTATTCACGGGTATGAAAGTATTCAGATTACTGTTCATGAACAAGACTAGAATTCGTGGACAAAATTACTATTCGTTACCAAGATTGTATTCGTGGAAAAGATTAGTTTTCGTTGACAAGATTAGAATTCATAGACAAGATAGTATTCATGGGAAAGATAATATTCATGAAAATGATTAAGATTCATGGACAAGACTAGTATTCGTTGACAAGATTAGTATTCATGGACAAGAGAAGTATTCGTAGACAAGAATATGTTCATGGACAAGAGAAGTATTCACAGACAAAATATTTCATGGAATTAGATTAGCATTCATGAAAAGGTTTATTATTCGTGGACAAGATTGGTTTCCATGGACATGGTTAGTAAGCTTCAAAATAAATGGAAAAGATTAGTATTCGCAAGCAAGAATAATGGTCATGGAAAAGATTAGTTTTCGTATTCAAGGAAGTTATTAGTTTCTATGGTCAAGAACCGTTTTAGGAGGCAGCATAAATTTTCATTGACATGATGTTTACGAAACGTTGGACATGAAAAACCCCGTTGTATTCATATCTGTAGTCTTAGTATTCTATACAAATACTATATTCGGCTGGTTAAGGTTTATAGAGATGACATGGTATTCATGACAAAGGCAGATATTTAGTTAAAATTCTCAAGCTATGTAAACTGTGTCTATCTGCTAAAACAAAGAAGTTTCCTGTTTTGCAAACAATTATATTCAACAATTGAAGAAAACTGCCTGAGAAAAAATCAGAATCGTTGATAAATATTTCGTGTCCTAAGAGTGCCTCTCGCTCCAATAGCAGTAATCGTCTTTACGTCAAGATTGTAGTTGATTATGCAGCTGCACACCCTGTTCCACAACCGTTATCCACTGACATTAACAAATCACTTTACTTAAAACAATGCGACCCGCTGCGCCCTAGACAAAGTGCTCTGTATAAATCGTCAATGATAGATTGCCCAGATCGATATTGATCTCTGTGAATAAAGCCTGAAACTGATCACATATTGCCGGGTAATCGAAAATCAAGTGACAGACGAGTGCTCACAGAGAGTTCAGCAACAGTGACAGGAACCAGGGGAGAGTGCAATGACTTTAACAGACATGGCAACACAGTATACATGGGTGATCTGGGTGATCTTGTACAAAGCAACCTTAGTGCTAAGACTACCTTAAGTCTATGTTAATGTATTGGAGTTACGGCCACCTTAGCGCTAAGACTACCTTAAGTCTATGTTAATGTATGGGAGTTACGGTCACCTTAGCGCTAAGACTACCTTAAGTCTATGTTAATGTATTGGAGTTACGGCCACCTTAGTGCTAAGACTACCTTAAGTCTATGTTAATGTATGGGAGTTACGGTCACCTTAGCGCTAAGACTACCTTAAGTCTATGTTAATGTATGGGAGTTACGGTCACCTTAGCGCTAAGACTACCTTAAGTCTATGTTAATGTATTGGAGTTACGGTCACCTTAGCGCTAAGACTACCTTAAGTCTATGTTAATGTATGGGAGTTACGGTCACCTTAGCGCTAAGACTACCTTAAGTCTATGTTAATGTATGGGAGTTACGGTCACCTTAGTGCTAAGACTACCTTAAGTCTATGTTAATGTATGGGAGTTACGGTCACCTTAGCGCTAAGACTACCTTAAGTCTATGTTAATGTATTGGAGTTACGGTCACCTTAGTGCTAAGACTACCTTAAGTCTATGTTAATGTATTGGAGTTACGGTCACCTTAGCACTAAGATCGCTTTGTACAACGGCACCCAGGAATGGCTGAACACTAAATGAATGTGCTTTAACACCGGTCTCAGCAGTAATCAAGGTTTATCAACTCCTTGCGTTCCCTGTAGAAGAAGGTTGTTATAGCTGTACACAGATCGTGAAATGGTTATGCTCACACTTTTCACACGTACATGTCCCTGTATGACATAGTTTCTACATTGTATATATGTATAGTCATTAGCTTCACGATAGGTGGACTCAATTAAACTCAAGCTCACACCTGTCTTTCAAATAGTCCCTATATGTCGACAGGGATTCCAGGAAGTATATGACGGGACGGATTTGTTTCAGTGTGGGACCGGGGCGGTGGGGTAGCCTAGTGGGTAAATCGTTCGCTCGTCACGGCGAAGACCCGGGTTCGATTCCCCACATGGGTATATTTAACTGCAGTACAGTAAACTACGGGTATACTCAACTCATAGGGACTCCTAAGTTTACTCGTTATCACCTTTGGTCATTATAGGAATTTTAACTAAAATATTCAGCAAGTGGCCGGCACAAAACCCCTTGTGTCAGTCATTACGTTATAAGCGTGTTCGTTATCTAAGTGGGGCGGTGGGGTAGCCTAGTGGTTAAAGCGTTGGCTCGTCACGCCGAAGACCCGGGTTCGAATCCCCACATGGGTACAAGGTGTGAAGCCCATTTCTGGTGTCCCCCGCCGTGATGCTGCCGGAATATTGCTAAAAGCGGCGTAAAACCAAACTCAGTCAGTCAGTCGTTATCTAAGTATTAGATAGACACTAGGTACCTCCACCACTCGCCTACACAGCTTTGTGACAAGTCGCTCCTTGTGACTGGAACAATGAGGACATTTAAACAATACTTATTTTTCAGTATATGGAATCCGTGTTAAACTTCCTGGGATATGGTTAGTTCTGTTCGCTATACATATACTGTGTGGTTGATACAGGCCTTTCTTATCAGCCCCCGTTATCGAGCAGTACACTCTAGTGAGTTAACAGGCAATGAAATAAGTGGAGTGCTACCTAGCGCATACCAAACAAAAGTAATTTAAATGTAAACAAGTAAAACACAACTTGAAGGAATATCTTGATGCCGACAGATTTAATAAATTTGATAACTTTGTAAAATATGATTTGCATTCGAAATTACTGGCTTAACTGATCCCTGTTTTCAAAGCTATCGCACGTTCTTGTTTTGTAATGACATACAAAAACCCATTTACGAATTTGGATTGAAAAAACAAGGACTCCCACGAAGTGGAGACGTGTTGTGATATGCCCGCGTTTCAAGATCGCCTTACCTAAAGTCCAAATTACTTTTAACATTAACCCATGAAGACCCGGGTTAGAGTTGATCTTCAGTAACGCATGCTTGTCGTAAGAGGCGACTAACGGGATCGGGTGGTCAGGCTATCTGGCTTGCTTGACACATGTCATCGAATCCCAGTTGCGTAGATCGATGTTCATGCTGTTGATCAGCGGTTTGTCTGGTCCAGACTCGATTATTTACAGACCGCCGCCATATAGCTGGAATATTGCTGAGTCCGGCGTAAAACTGACCTCACTCATACACACACACTTTTAACATTAGGGTGATGACAGGGTTGTTTTCTCTTCCCAGTCGGATCAACGGCACTTGTTAACTTAGTTATTGTGGACTGCTTATGGAATGCTTTAATGTGACCATGCATAGAGTTAAAATGTCATTTGATGCCTGACAATATACAATATACACATATTTGTCTTGAAATCTAGTAACATCCAATAAAGTGACATATTTTTATGTCTTAACACACTTGTCATCTTAAGGCTGTTCTGGTTTATTGACTGAAAATATCAACACGCGCAAACACTATTCTAGTAATAAATGACTCCCTTCTGTTCAAACCGACACGCTCATACTTTTGTACTTATCTCGTAAATCTGCCGAGACTCTGGCCAGCCACGCAATGGTTGGTATAAAAATCAGCTTGAGATCTCCTGCATGTGTGTTTTATTGTGTTGTCGCTCTTGATAAGGCCGATTTTGTCAATTCCCTTTTCATCTCTCAATAAGGGCTTCCGATATGTTTTGAGGATAAGTAGGCATTGCACGGGAAGTGGGACTACTGAGTC